CGCCCACATGTTGCGCGGACTGTTAGAGACTTCTGTTCAGCACAACGCATGCAACTTCTTCCTTGGCCTGCTTATTCGCCGGATATGTCGCCTATTGAGCACGTGTGGGATATGGTTGGTCGGCGTCTCACTCGTGATCCGCGTCCTGCAGTTTCCAAAGACGAACTTTGGTTGCGCATACAAGCGATATGGAATTCTCTTCCTCAAGCAGATATTCAACATCTGTTTGACTCCATGCCACGTCGTATAGCAGCACTTATTGCAGCGCGTGGTGGCTGCACCAAATACTGATTTCGGACGCTTAATTTGTTTCTTTTGTTTTGAAAATTTCATCATTTATTTGTATCAGTACAAGTCGTTTCTGCATTAAATTTCATTTGATTCTGATGATTCTTTCATGGTGTTGCATTTTCTACAAACAGCAGTTTATTATCGAAATTAATTGGTTTTTCCACTGTTATGGCATTCAAAAAGTCTTTGATAGATCAAAAAGTACTTGTTCCTTATAATTCTAGATCTAATCAGAAATAACTAAATCATTGTGGTATCAGAGAATCTTTTAATTTATCCAGATAAATGAAAATGCTGAAAAAAGTTTCCCACCACAATGAATGTCTTTGAAAAAAGGAACTGTCCTAAATATATGACGCGGGGCGTTAACCGGTTAGTAAGAGAAATCTATTTTAAACTTATGATTTAATACAGAAAGATTCGTGTATGAGTATATATATATGGTATCTTCAAACTCATGGTACATAGATTATGGTATGAGAGAATAAAACTAGACAAGCACAAGTCACCAGAATTATCGCTCTTGAACTTTAACTTATTAGAAAATTTAAACTAAAATCACATAACATTATTCTATTATTTGTCAAAAATATTTTAAATTTTAAACTTTTTATGTTAAAATGTAAAATCTTATAGAAACCTTAAACTTAAGTTAACTTTAGAAATAGAGTTCGAAGATTGATTTTCTGGCTATTAGTCAAACGTTTAATTGTTTGAAATACGGCTTAGGTGTGTTTACATTTCCGCCGGGCATTTAAAGTTCGTAACGTTTGATTGAAAGATGCATTACATTCGAGCTTATTATGAAAGATAGTATTATGCGTTTCGGCCGCATACTATTCTCATGCATAACTTATCACGTGATTATCTTGCAACCAATGGGAAGATATATGGGATAGTAGAATAAATAATTGACGACACTACTTAAAATGTCACCAACAATTAAATGTAAAACAAATAAATAGTGAAATTTTCATTTAACATTCGAAAACTCATGAGAAATTGATCAGCAAAGAATCAACCATAATCTCTAATCAATTAATATCTAATATCTAATTAATTAACATCTATTATCTAACTAATAAATATCTAATTAATTTATTATTTCTAATACTTGTTAGATTAAAAAGTTACTAAATAACTAATTTTTGTATTTTGATAAATGCGTTGATTTGTTTTTCAAATTAATTTAAAAATTGGTTTGTACTTTTTCTCTGTTCGAGGAATTGGCTGCATTAATGGTGATTTCAAAACACTAAAACTGATGAACCCTGAAGAGGAAGAGAGTAGAATGGAAAAATATTCTAAAGAGGGCCTTGGCCCACAATGGTCTGTCGAGTCAGTAAAAAAGAGAAGAATATTTAACATTATTGTGTTATTTTAAAAATTTGCTTCGGAAAGAATATATTCGTGCTATATTATTATTTTTGGAGTAATTAAAAGCGATAAAAACATTAAAGCTTATTAAAATCCGTCTCGTGTTAATCTTTTAAAAAACTGATAGTTACATTTGAATAAAAGTTACACTTTTTAATAAAACAGGGGGGGGACAAAATAATTCAAACACTTCTATGCTAATACATTTTTTTATATTTCTTAGATACACTTAACAGAATATTTTACAACTTCAGAATTGTTTAGATCATGCGATTTCTCATACATATCAGTGAAGTTTAAAGCCTTTAGGGGATTGAGGGACAAACAATAAATAACAAACGGAAAATAATGTTTTTGAACGACCTATACTAAAAATTGTAGCAAACGATTTGTAACTTTTGACAGTTATTTTGGTTATTATATGCAATAATTATGCAAAATTTAGTAATTCTAGCTTCAATATTAATGGAGATATGGACACTTAAAAAAATGTAAAAAAAATTTAAGAAAAAAAAAGTTTTTTTGTCTTATTTCTTTTGCTACAACTTTAAAAATATTCAATAGAAGTGAACAAAAATTTTTAAACCATTTTAAAATTAATTACAAAATTTCTTATTTAAAATTTGAAGACCATTTCGTTCAAAACTGCCCAAGATATAAGTAATTAAAGTAGTTCTTTTATACTGCGAATGCGCGGGAAAAATTTTCAAAAAAATCTTACCTTTGTAGTGAATTGTGTTTGGAAACTAATAAAAGAATTCCGATTTGAATATCTTACAAGTTTAGAAAGTTTCAAACAATTGTCTAAGTAGTTTTCGTACTTTTTAAGAGATTTGTCAAAATGACAAGGGGTGCTCCACAGATTTTATTTTGGACAATTAAACGAGATTTATTGAAAATGAACCCGGCATTTCCTGGGGTATATGCCCAAAAAAAATTTTTCACCGATTTTCGTTTCTCATTAAATCTCATTTTGGTGTAGGAACATTTAATGTGGTATTGTAATTTATTATTAAATTCTGTCTTATTATTCAAACAATATTTGTAGAAAAACCCTTATGATTTTGAGCTTTCTCGTAAAAAGTACGAAAAATACTTTGAAAATTGCTTGATGATAATTTTACTTACTTTATTTACAAAATTTAGGCACCTGGGCCGCGCAGAAGGCCCATATCCCATACATCATGAAATATTACAGAAAAATTATAGTAAAAAACAGTTTGAGTTCAGCAGTCTGTGTGGTGCTGATATGCTTGATGATAATTTAACTTTGAGATCCAATATTTATCCAATTTTTTCTAATCCAATATTTATCTTAAAAATTAGAGTGATAGCTAAAGTAAGAAATTTTAGTCCAAATGTTTTCTAATTTTACTATCTCTTATTAAAATTCGCATTTTTTCCTTATTTTTTTTAATCACAATTCTCACTAATGACTATCTGATAATTTCCTTTTCACTCCGTTGACACAAAATTTTTATCAAACTTATTTTTTCTACTTCTCTCATTACTTTGCTCTACTTTAGGTTAAAATAATTTTAAAAAATGTTATATTTAGTTTCTTAATAATTTGCGGTTTTTGAAATACAGCACGTGACGTCTTTTTCAGCGTTAAATGTAAAATCCTCCAAACACTTCCAAGCAGTTTCTCAAATTTGCACTTATTTGTTGTTATTTATTTTAAAGATAAGCAAATTTTCATCATTAAAATTCCTTTTATTTACAAAATCAATTATTGATAAATTTTTTAATACATATTTATATTTTGAAAGGAAAAAAAATTCAAACAAACTTTTTTGACTTAATGCTTCAGTACTAAAAATAATTCTGAAAATAATTAAACAGTTTTTTTTTATAATTAAAAATACCAAAGTATATTTCTGCTTGTAATTAGAGAGTTAGAAAAAATATATGAAAGGAACACCGTTGTACCATCTGTGTCGAAGGGTTGTACACATCGTAAATTCTCCAAAAGCAAATTTTGTACGCTCGAATCATTTACAAATATATCAGCATTCTTGAAAATACTTCCTGGAAGTACTTCAGTTTCCTAATAACTAGCCTCCTTAAATGAAAAGGGAAAACATTTTCCGCAATTTACTTGGAAATGAAGGTTATTTCTGGCAAAATAAGTTCGGTCTGAAAAGATATCATCTTCTATCATTTCCCATAGGAAAGGTAAGCACTTCTACGGTAGGAAACTATTTACTTTCGATCTGAAGTTATTAATGAAAAACTTGTTCTATATCTTATGATACACGATAACTGATCATTGTGTAAATGTTAGGACATATGTAAGCATAACTAAGTTTAATTGAGTCTGAAATAAAATATTTAACATCTTAGATAATATATATAACATTAACAGATATATATATATATATGTAACATAAAAAGCTTCCATTAAACTTTTTATGTTATCCAAATTAATTATTCTAATCGAAATACTTTCTCACACTTTTAAAAACCACATCCTGTTCTTAAATCTATTTTTGGCTCAAGTATGCATTTAATTAAAAGCAGGACATTTTTCCCTTTGCTCTGTGTGGGAAACGCTCGAGCTATTTCATAAACCAATAACAACAACTAAGATTTCACTCTTTCCCTAAATTAAGACATTTTACGGATTTTACTTTGCAAGCAAGATTTTCCCTAACATATAACCAAGGAGCGCAACTTTTCGTGTACACTTTTACTATCTCTCATGACTGCTCTGACTAATAATTAATAAATAAATTTTGTACCCTCAAAAAAAAAACAAAAAAAAAACTTTTTATTTAATTTTTTGTCCAAAATTTGCCTTCTGTAACATTTTTTCCTTTCCTTTTCTCTCTTATTTTTCTTTCTACTTTCTTTTATTTTTCTTTTCTTCCTACTTTCTTTATATTTATTTATTTGTACTTTTATTTTCCTTCTTGGTATTTTTATTGCAGTTATTAACCCGGATTTCAGGAAAAATGTGTAAGGACAAATTGCTTTTTTAATCAGAAAAGGTGATCAATCTTCTCAGATTTTACATTACACAATGCGTTTAACACAATTTATCACTAATGGAAATCCATAACAAAGCTTTCAAATTTAATATGGTATTAAGGTAAATCAGTTATTTAAAATTTGACTGACTAAGCTATTTTCCTTATTTTTAATCTGAAGTGCAAGTTTGGTTAATTTCCAATTTCTTTCTTTTTTTTTCCATTTATTTTTCGCTTTGCTCTGTGCGGGAAAAGCTCGATCTATTTCATAAACCAATAACAACTACTAAGACTTCTCTCTTTCCCTAAATTAAGACATTTTACGGACTTTACTTTGCAAGATTTTCCCTAACATATAACCAAGGAGCGCAACTTTTCGTGTACACTTTTACTCTCTCTCATGACTGCTCTGACTAATAATTAATAAATAAATTTTGTACCCTCAAAAAAATTAAAAAAAACTTTTTATTTAATTTTTTGTCCAAAATTTGCCTTCTGTAACATTTTTTATATTCTCTCTTATTTTTCTTTCTACTTTCTTTTATTTTTATTTTCTACTTTCTTTATATTTATTTATTTGTACTTTTATTTTCCTTCTTGGTATTTTTATTGCAATTATTAACCCGGATTTCAGGAAAAATGTGTAAGGACAAATTGCTTTTTTAATCAGAAAAGGTGATCAATCTTCTCAGATTTTACATTACACAATGCGTTTAACACAATTTATCACTAAGTGAAATCCATAACAAAGCTTTCAAATTTAATATGGTATTAAGGTAAATCAGTTATTTAAAATTTGACTGACTAATATATGACTGACTAATTTATGTATAAGAGGAAATTCTAGAAGAAACCTTTTATATATCTGTTTAATATTTTTACTTGTAGTATTATACAAAATTCTTTAAACTTTTATCTCTTACGGTATTAATACATTATCTTTAATTATAGAACGATAAATGTTTACTAAAATTACGAAAATTCCGTAGTAGTTGGAAAGTATGGATTCGTAAGAAAGCACGTGTCTTATTTGTTATTACTTTACATTTTCATTGGTTGTGCTAATAAGAGATGCGACTAATTCTCCAATCATATAAAAACAAAGAATAAAAACAACTTTACAATTGCTTTTAATTTTAAAGGCACATTCTTCTGCTTTATCAAAACAATAAATTTGAATATTATTAATTTGATAACTACTGATTTATAATTAGAAATTAGTTAGTTATTGATTGATAATCTGTTATTAATTTATTATTAATTGGAAATCTGCTGTTACTGATAGTCTGTTATTAATAATGGACACAGTGTGTACTTCATTTTTAAACATTTATTTATGCATAATTTAAATAAAACTGGCTTATAAAAGTAATTTTTGTTCAAACATAATAATCAGTAACATTTTAGTGTAGTGTATTTAAGTGCATCATGCATATATCTCATTATAGTTCAATGTGGCTTAATTACTTCCTTTTATAGGAAAAGCAATTTTTTTTTAAATTTTGGAGAAAATTTCGAGGGGGAAAAAATAGTAAACTGGCAAAATTCTTACCTTGGAGTGGCCTGGAGTAGAGCAGTATGACCTTTCGTACCAGCAAGTCTAACAAAAAGTAGCCCAGTTTCATTTCGGTATCGTCTTGATTCTTCTTTATCCGATAACAGCACATTAAAATGATAATGATAACCTTCAAAATAAAACAAATTATGCATGTTCAGCAAGAAACTAAATAAAAAGTTTTCTTTATTTGTACTCTGTACTTCTATTTTTGGGTTGTCTAGAAATTTCGTTCCGAATTTCGACAGGCGGAGCTCCCAAAAGGTGGTAGCAAACTATACTCATCAAATTAATTTGAATTTTTTTTCAATTTCGCAACCACTTCAATCTTAATATTAATCTAGCATGTATCAGACTCCTGTATGCAATAAGTTTCCAAATCTTTGTAGTGATCAGGAAAATATAATGATTAATTTTTAAAAACAGGAAATATATTTTATAGTATAATTTTTGCTACCATATGGACGTTAGAAAGATCCGCCTATCGGAATTATTAGCTACAAACATTATTAATATCATTAGCATAGTTGCTAAAGAAATTTTGTAGATATTCATGAACTGCAATAAAAAAAATTTCTCGACTAAAACAAATGTCTAACGTTATGTTGTATAATTATACAATATTATATTTGATTAGGTAATATAAATATGCTACGTATAAAATTCCTGAACAAAAAGTAATTTTTTGCAAAAATAATTTAAATCAATTTTAAAATTATTCACTTGAAAAATTCATAAAACATCAAAAAAATAAAGTCATTATCTTCCCCTCCAAACAATCACGGAATTTAAGCAATCTCAAAAAATTTTCTTGGTGACAGCAAAATTTTTGCAGAGATGACAACTTGATCCGCTTTGTAAAAAACTATTTTCAAGTTGTAACGAAATTTAAGTTATTTTTAGTTTCGTATTTTTCACTTTAAGTCTTTTTTTCCACCACTATTTATCAAAAATTCAAAGTATCAAATGAAATGCAAGTTACTTGAAGATATTTCGTGATGACACTTTTAAAGAGTAGTGGTAATTATCTTTGTTTTACCAGTTAATTCGTTACTAATTATTTAAAACTTTTGCAGAAAGTGGAGCATTTGGCTTTCTTGGATTTATCCAACGCCTCCTATAACTGAAAGCCTCCACATGGTTTTTTTATAGGTAGTCCGATCAGACCACTGTGAAGGATATCCCCTTTCCGAACGAGTCATTTAATACAAAATTTAGTTAAAATAAGAAAGTGGTAGCAAATATATGACTAAAAATTTATTTTATTTATGAATATTATTGGTTTGCCTTATTCACTTGTCTGCCACTACAGATTCAATTCTCAAATATATATGATAAATTTCTCTCAATTACTTTTATAAAAGGTTTTGGGTTCATGCGCGCAACTGGTTCACTTTTTAAGCAGTCTGCGCGGACTACTTATTAAGGACCGTGTGGAGGCTTTTAGATGTAGGAGGTGATGATTTATCTCGTGGTCATTCTATTGAAGTATAGGCGTATTTATCCTCATGCTATAAATTTTACTATTCAATTCGGTAATAATTATTTATATTTTTTCAGAAATCGGAGCAGTTGGCAAACCTGCTTAGTATTTCTCTCAATAAGCTCCAGGGGTGAAAACGAGACGGAAAAGAGGAATGGCTGGTAGTAAAACAATTTCGGTTATAACTAGTTTCCAGGAGGAGTTAACTAATTCTACTTCAAACTATTCAACAATATCTACATTATCCTTGAAAATAAGTAGTTTCATATATAGACTAAAATTATTAAAGAAATCTTGATAGTTACAGATATTTTATTTTTCTCGAAAAAAATGCTAAAATGAAATGTCTTTCGTACTAGTTTTCGCACTTTTCCGTCTTGCATTATAAGGGCTTTAAGCCTCCACAAGGTTCCTTATAAGTAGTCTGCTCAGACTATCTTAAGAGTGAGTCAGTTGCGCGCTTGAACTCAAATTCTTTTTTAAAAGTGAGTGACTGAGAGAAATTTAACATAAATATTTGAGAATTGAATCTGTAGTGGTAGACAAGTAAATAAGACATGCCAATTATATTCATAAATTTAAAAAATTTTTAGACATATATTTGTTACCACTTTCTTATTTTTACTAGATCTTGTATTAAAGGACTCTTTCGTAAACTGGTTTACCTTCATTGTGGTCTGATCGGACTACCTGTAAAAAAATGTGTGGAGACTTTCAATTGTAGGGGGCGTTGTTTCAGCCATGACAAGCTCTTCAATTAAGTTAACTGGTAGTATATTTTTATGTGAGTTGTCATTTTTACAACTTAATTNTATCTCGTGGTGACACTTTTAAAGAGTAGTGGTAATTATCTTTGTTTTACCAGTTAATTCGTTACCAATTATTTAAAACTTTTGCAGAAAGTGGAGCATTTGGCATTCTTGGATTTATCGCGTGGTCATTCTATTGAAGTATAGGCGTATTTATCCTCATGCTATAAATTTTACTATTCAATTCGGTAATAATTATTTATATTTTTTTCAGAAATCGGAGCAGTTGGCAAACCTGCTTAGTATTTCCTTCAATAAGCTCCATGAGTGAAAACGAGACGGAAAAGAGGAATGCATACCTGCCAACTCATCCGGATTTTCCGGAAGATTTTATTTTCATATTTAAAGTGGTAGCAATACTCAGGTTATTCCAATTACCTTTTTGAATTATAATGATAATATAAATGAGTTTGACCACCACTACAGATAAATAATTACAATAAATATATCAAAGCATAATAATCTTTGCTCAAGCGAATTTCAACGGGATCAAAATATAAATATATTTTTGAGTCAGATTGTTTTTCGTTTTTTGTTTTACAACCACTCTGAAAATCCATTCTCGGAAAGAGGGAAAGTTGGCAGGTATGGGAATGGCTGGTAGTAAAACAATTTCGGTTATAACTAGTTTCCGGGAGGAGTTTACTAATTCTACTTCAAACTATTCAACAATATCTACATTATCCTTGGAAAATAAGCAGTTTCATATATAGACTAAAATTATAAAAGAAATCTTGATAGTTACAGATATTTTATTTTTCTAGAAAAAAATGCTAAAATTAAATGTCTTTCGTACTAGTTTTCGCACTTTTCCGTCTTGCAATATAAGGGCTTTAAGCCTCCACAAGGTTCCTCATAAGTAGTCTGCTCAGACTATCTTAAGAGTGAGTCAGTTGCGCGCTTGAACTCAAATTCTTTTTTAAAAGTGAGTGACTGAGAGAAATTTAACATAAATATTTGAGAATTGAATCTGTAGTGGTAGACAAGTAAATAAGACATGCCAATTGTAATCATAAATTTAAAAAATTTTTAGACATATATTTGTTACCACTTTCTTATTTTTACTAGATCTTGTATTAAAGGACTCTTTCGTAAACTGGTTTACCTTCATTGTGGTCTGATCGGACTACCTGTAAAAAAATGTGTGGAGACTTTCAATTGTAGGGGGCGTTGTTTCAGCCATGATAAGCTCTTCAATTAAGTTAACTGGTAGTATATTTTTATGTGAGTTGTCATTTTTACAACTTAATTGCAATAACCAATTTTCCTTATTCTACAAATTTTACTATTTGACTCACCTCCAATCAATTTAATCTGTAACAGAAAATGGAGCAGTTGGCCTCCCTGTTTATGCATTAATATTTAAATTTATTGGAACTAAAATAATTTTATCTGCAGATGAATACATAAATATTAAGCAGAAAAGCAGGCATAAAAAAACTCAGACGTACTGTCATTTTCTTAAGCACTGATAAAAGCATGAAAATTCTATTTGTCTTAAAAATGTTTACTTGCTTACTTTCGTTCGCTATCATTAGGAAAATTATTTCAGAAATATCTCAAATGTTAGAGGGTATGACCATTCTCTTATATCTTTAATTGTCAGAAAAAAATAAAGTTTGTGATCAAATTAAAACTTTTGAAATACAGAATCCTCTTATTTTATTATTCTTTTCAGAATTTATTATTCTGAATTATTTTATTTTTCTGAATGTTTCTTCTAAAAGACAATAAGTCTTAAAGAAAACTGTTTAATCTAGATTTACAACATTCTCCAGAGACATAGTGTAGGAAGAAATAAACTGATTGATTGACAGAACCTTGAGGATAACATAATTATCTTAAGTTCGAACATTTCATTTAGATAAATATGAAGCAAAATAAAGCCCATTCTTGAGCATTTCTTTTAACCGTTTAACTGAAGTAAGCAAAAAGTATAAAAAGTTGTTTTAGTTGATTAAATTATTTTGCTTTTCAATTTGCTTATGTTTTATTTTTTTTATTTCGAAAGAGTGTGAGTTAAAATAATAATATTATTTTCAATAGATTTTTTCGCATTCAAAACTTGTACAGTAATTGCTGGATTTAAAGTGTTTAAGAAAGACTTTAATTGATAACAGGTTTTATAAAAAAATATTAGCACTTGACTGCTTTCTTTACTGAAGCTTTATCTAAAACTATTTCCAACATTGAAATTATTGGAAATACAAAGCACTTCCTTTTATTAAAAACCTTGGGGAAAAAAATTTTGATGCATTTTTACAAAAACTTGATCTTGTCTGATTCAGGTGAGTGGCCGGGATGGCCTGGTTGGTAGGGCACTGGGCCCATGTCCAAGATTTCGTGGGTTCGAACCCCGCTGGCCGAAGACTACCCGTGTAGTTGGTGACTGAAGCACATTAAAACTCTGTCGAGTCGCAAAGTCCTCCATGTTCTCATAATAAATAAAAACCTCTGGGGGTACTGGATTGGAGATCGATCGTTCTCTAAATCAGGTCAAAATTACGATCTGTGGATGAATGAATGGATGTATGAATGGGTTCGCCTTATAAACTAGTGCGACGTATGATGTGGCAGAAGTCGCATTCTTGCCCATAGATGGCGCCACTGAAAAACAAAAATCACACACTCTGCCTTAAATTTGCTCGGTCTCACTAAGCAGGCTTGTCCGTGTGGCAAGTGGCATTAGAACCAACCAAACCAACCAATTCAGGTGTGAGGATTTCAAATCTGAAATTAGTTTTGCTACTAAAGCAAAAAAAAATGTAATGAAATTTTTTGTCCAGTTCTTGTCAAAATGTACAAAATTAAAAACGTTGTATACAACAAGAGCTCGTG